CTGGAACCATCAGGCAGCCGCTCAAGGTCGTTGACCAGACATCAAAGATCCAAAGGGCTCGCCAACTTTTCCCTACTCGAAAGGCTACGAAGATAACACTGCAAACACCTCTCCAGGATGAGGAATCGAAACAAGATGAGCTTCTTGCGCAAATAAGAAATCTTCCTAAGTATGTGGCCTATCAAATACATCCCATCACAGCAGCCGAAGATTGCCTTAAAGTGCAACCGGTTTCGGCTAAGCAGGGTCTCAAGACAAAACCTGACACCCCCGGAAATGCAGTATTGCCAGATGCTGTTCCGTTAAAGAAACTTACGCAATCCGAGGAAGTCCTACACCCCATAGAAATCAGGCCATGTCCAAAGACTGCGAAGCGACTGTCTATTCTTGGAAAAGTACTGAAGCGGTCGACTGAAACCACCTCCAGCCTCAGCTCTGGCCTCGACTCCACGAGTAGTGATCAGTCGGAGATCCCTCAGCTGCATTACTTCCGACCTGTTGAGTCGCAGGTAGATGAAGACGCGCCAAAGGAAATGCATAGGAAGGATCCAATCGTACTGGCTCTCATAGACACCATCATGAAGTGTCTAGTGGTGTTTGGCAGTTACTCGGAAAGACAGATGGAAGCCATTGCACCCAGGATGTTTAACTGTCCGTTTGACCCTCACCAAGTCATTAACGTGCCCAAAGGCAGTATCTTTAGTGACGATCCAGACGGCGCCTATATGGACCTCTTCTGTTTCCAGGTGCTTGATACGATTAGAGCCGGCATAAGTATTGCAGCCAATGACCGCTACCTTCTTACTCTTGCCCACAACCTACTTAAAACTTTCGGTTCCCTTGGAGACCTTGGTTTAGCTCCACCAGAGGACTTCCGAATTGCCGTGCAACGACAGCGTGAAGCGGACGACGAGGCGGAGGCTGAAGCGGAGGCTGACAGCACATTCGATGAGTTCACCAAGTGGTCGGAGGTCAAGCGTCGTTCATATCTGGGTTCTGACTGGTTTGACGAACCCAGCAGTGATAGTGGCGCCACTCTTCTCTACAGGCCTCCACACCGTAAGCCTATAACGCGCCAACCGGAGTTTTG